CTTTAGTTTCTAGAATAGAATCTGCCAAGAAATGATACACAATAAAAATTTTACTAAATGAATGAGTGGTAATTTTTTCTCTGGTAGTGACAGCAGTATATTAACCAACCATTATTAATTCAGCAATTATTTTTAAGAGTATACTGTTTTTCATGTATGGTGATATGTGCTAAGGGTCAGCAAAGCCCTGCTCTCATAAAATGCCATTGTAACAAGAGGAAAGTTGGAGTATGTGAGCACACCTGCTGGTAAGTGGTAAGCCTGGAAGCTTTGAAAACTCCTGCTCTGTTTCTTCTATTTCATCAATGAACAGATGAAAGTCTAAAGTAGGGATGTTTATTTTGCAGTTGAGATTTAATGCACAGAGAGACTATATTAAGTTTGGATGTGAGGCATCTCCTCAAAGCTCATGTGAGAGAAGATGCAAGAAGATTCAGAGGAGAAATAATTTGGTTGTGACAATCTTAACCCAATCAGTGATTTATTCTCCTGTAGGGGTTAACAGAGTGGTAACTAAAGTGGTAGGGTGTGGCTGAAGGAGGTGGGAATATATTTGTATCTAGCAAATGGAGTCTTTCTGCTTCCCGACATGGTGTGAGCTGCTTCCCTTCTCTGCTCTCTCTTGCCATGATGTCACCTTGAGCCCCGAGGAATGCAGCTGAACTGAAATCACAAGCCCTCTAATAAGCATTTCCTCCTCTAAAATTATTCTGGTTGGGTCCTTCAGTCACAGCTGCAAAAAAATAAAGCAGATTAAAAGAGGATAAAAGCAAAACAATGAAAAAATATACCTTTTAAAATAAAAACAAAGCTGCTATATTATCCTCACTAAGACAAGAGAATAATTGGAGGCAAAGAGGGTATGATGGTTGACTTTATGGTTCCACTTGGCTAGACCTCAATGCTCAAATAAATTTTGTGACACTAGTCTATTTTCAGATAAGATTAACATTTACTTTGAGTAAAGCCAATTACTCTTCATATTGTGAGTAGACCACATCTGTCAGTTGAGAAGGTGTTAAGAAAAAAATACTGAGTTATCCCAAGAAAGAAGAAATTCCATCTCCAGACAATCTTCAGATTTGAGTTGCAAAATCAACTCTTTTCAGGGTCTCCTGATGAATGACCTGCCTATAGAAGTTGGAATTGACAGTCCCCACAATTTTGTTAACAAGTTTTTCAAAACAAATCTATAGGTAGGGGTGTAAATTTCTACATAGATAGACACTGATATATACATGACAGACTTAAATCTGTATACAGATTTTAAAAGTAACAAAGTAATATATTTGCATTGTTTATAACTTTAATATACTTTTATAAGCATGTTCCATTTCACAACAAGAATATTATAAAATGTTAATGGGTAATGATATTCTACCCCAAAGAAAATGGTTGATTTCTCAGTGAAATGGCAATAGTTTGAATGTATCCCCAAAGCCCTGGTATTAGAAACTTAATTTTCAATGCAACCATTGTAGAAGGTGGATCCACCTCTAATAAGACAATAGAAGGTCATTAGAAGTAAAATAAAAACTATAAAATTCCAAGAAAATAACACAGGAAATCTAGGCCATTTTGCATATGGCAATGCATTACTACACACAAAACTAAATGCAAGATTCATGAAAGAAATAATTGATAAGCTGGATCTTATTAAAATTAAAATTTTCTGTTCTGTGAAAAGCAAAACTAAGAAAATGAGAAGACAAGTCATAGACCAGAGAAACATTGCAAAAGACTCATCTGATAAAGATCTGTTATTCAAAATGTACAAATCAAGTTCTAAATTCAAAAATAAGCAAAAAACCCATTGCAATGGGCCAAAGGCCTTATTGAATACTTTATTAAAGAATACATACAAATAGAAAACAAGCTTATGAAGAGATTGTACCCATCGTTTTGTTATGAGGAAAAGGCAAATTAAAACAATAAGATACCACTAAAATACCATTGGAATGGATAGAATACAGAACATAACAACACCAAATACTAGTATGGAAATTGAGCAATAGAAACTAATTCATGCTGGTTAAAATACAAAAATATATGTATTTGGAAGACTGGCAGTTGCCGGGTTTCTGTTCACTACTAAAATGCTCAGGGGTCACTCCAGTTGAACTGGGCTAACTGGGCTGTGCAAACAACCACACAAGTGACAAAAATACCTTTTTCTTTGGGGTTGCTGTGACAGCTCCTCTGACCTTAAGGGTCCATAGAAAGAAAGAGAGAGAGAGCACACATGCACTGACCCCTTTTATTGAGGAGAATAAAATATATTTTCAACTATAAAAGGGGTCAGGCTTCAGGGAGCTGAATCTATCTTCATGATGTCCACTGTCAGCAGGTTGACTGACACCTGGGTAGGCTCATCCAAGGGCACAGTAAAAGAAGGGGACACACACAAGGCAGTTCCATGGAAGATTCTATTCTAAACAGGGCAAGGGGTTATATTACAAAGGAACTGGTGAGCATAGCTCCACCCATGGGGCTGTAGGAAGATACACCCATGCACGAGACACTGACCCTCGAACCCAAGAAGGATGAGGAAAGCTCTGCCACATTTCTATGACTGAGTGCCTCAGCACCCAGCCAGGGAGTGTGACCCAGTCACGTGTAAGGTTGGTCTCCCACAGAGAGTTTCTTATGTACTTTTTCCATGTGAGCCAGCAATTCTCCCCTGCCACCTGCTTGGTGTTTATTCAAAGTAGTTGAAAATATATGTGCACATCAAAACCTGCACATTATGTATACTGCATCTTTATTCTTACTTTCCCAGATTGGGAGTTACCAATATGCATCTGTCAAGAGGAATGCAAGCATAAACTAAGACATATCTACAAAATTGAATATTATTCAGCACTAAAAAGAAATGAGCTATCAAGTCATGAAAGGCACGGAGAAAAAAAAACACATGTTACTAAATGAAAGAAGACAACTGAAAAAAAAAAAAAGGCAACATAACTGTGACTCTAACTAAATGACAATTGGGAAAAGGCAAACCACAGTGATAGCTAAGGTTCAGGCTTGGAATTAAATGAACAGGTAGAGCACAGAGGAAATCTACATGAATGAGAGTATTCTATATGACTCTGTAATGGTAGACATGTGTCATTATACATTTGTCCAGACCCAGATGATGTAAGAACACAAAGGTGATCCCTGATGAGAACCATGGACTTTGGGTAACCATGATGTGGAGTGGAGTTCATTGCTGGTACCAAGTGAACCACTCTGTGGGAAGATGTTGATCATGGAGATGGCTGGGGATGGCCAGGGAGGGCTGGGGGTTAGGTATGTATGCAATCTCTATAACATCCTCTCAATTTTATTGTGACCTAAAACTACTCAAAAAAATAAGGTTTTAAAAAAGGGTGAGGGTTTGTAAATATGTGATAGGTAGAACAAAGATGGATGTGAAGATCAGAGACAATATTAAAAAGTTGGCAGCTATCTAAATGAACAATATGCAGAACTGTAAATAACTTAATATGTTAAATGAAACTCCATCTGATTTATAATTAAATAAATTATATATACACACAATAAAAGAAAATTTTATAAGCCAAGGCAAAAAAGTTTGAAAATGCACAGGTTTGGGGAAACAGATATTCTGTTCAAATACCACTACTAATGGTATAGGAGAGTAAAACTATTCTAGGCAGCAATTTTGGAACATTGTATACTAATCTGAGTGTGTCCTTTTTCTTGGACATTGTGTCAATTCCCTATATTGAGAATTGACTACCATGTTCTTCTTTTTAATATTTTTAAATATCTTACATTTATGTTCCCAATTCATAAAAGTAATTTCTAATTTTCAGTTGGGTCTGGGAAGTGAGCATTCCTTGCTCTGAAAGCAGTGGTGAACAGCATGCAGAACTGTCACTAGAACACTTTCTTACTGGATCCTTTCTTTCCATCCTCTCCCTTTCAAGTAACCCTAACACACACACACACACACACACACACACACACACACAGCACCACCTTCTCCAGTGGTCTAAGGGTAACTGGTGCTTCTGACTCCTAAACCTGAAAGCACAGCACATAAGTGATGTTCCTTGTTGGCCTTTCACATGAGACAGATTCCATCTTCACTTGGCCTGTGATGCAAGTTTCTCCATGAATTTCTCACTCTCTAAGACTCAGTTGACAACACTGCCATCATCTCCTTTTCTACTCTGAGTGTCTATGTCCTTTAGAGATTCTTTCTTTCTCTCTTTTTTAAATATTTCTCTAGTTGTAGATGGACACAATGACTTTATTTATTTTTATGTGGTGCTGAGGATTGAACCCAGTGCCTCACACATGAAAAGCAAACTGTACTATGTAACTGTCTCAGGAACACTCATCATTTAGCCATGGGTCATATTTTAATTGTGCATTTTCTCCCTCCCTTTCTTTTGAACATCAACCTATGGCTACCATATGATTGACCAAACAAGATGCCCTTCCCCTACATGAGGCAAGTTCCCATTTCCTCTCATTGCACTGTTGCTGCATGTGAGGTCTGTTCCTCTTCCTTTCTTCTCTTCTCTTCTTATTCTGTCACCGCTTGTATATTTCAGAGGTGGGGCTTCTAGTTCTCCTATCACCTCTCCTTCCACTCTGTGTTAGGGAGACCTTATGCATATGTCACCTTCTCTAGTACATTTGTCTCTCTAAAAATATAATGAGCCACAGCAACGCCTTCCAGAATGACCTGCAACAACATGTGCAGTCTGGGTTTTCTCAGCAAGAATGAGCAAAGAGACCTCTTCATTGTTTGAGTGGTTTTACCATGAAATTACTTTGGCCCTTCATGAGAAACTAACACTGTCAGCTTCTGTCTTCCTTGTGACTAAGGAAGAGCTGAGTTGGAATATGTTCACTCTTTGTTCTGCTCTGAATATTTGTTTGATTTTTCTTCAACCAAAGAAACACTGTGGCACACCTCACAGACTGTGCAGAATAGATCCCTGAGATAGACACTCAGCAGCCAGACCCCTGGGTGCTTCTCAGAGTTTATGCTCAGCTGTCCCTGCAGTTTCTGCCACTGTGTCACCCAGAGCACAGTAGTACACAGCCGAGTCAGACTCTTGGACAGAGGCTTTATCCAAGTTGAAGGAGGATGTATCTTTCTTGTATGTGGCTTCAAAACCTTTGCTGCTGACCTTATCATTGGCCTTCACAGCTTTCAGGAGGAGCTGTAGACCTTCTCCAGGGTATTGAACGTACCAGAAAAGTACAGGGTATACTATGGTTGTAGTTGAGTAAGTGCAGTTTATAATCAGCAAAGCCCCTTCTGACATGGTCACATGGCCTGCTGTCTGGGTCACTGAATCTCCATGAGTCCTTCCTTGAGGGGAAAAGACAATTCTGTCACCTTGGTGATAAAACTCTCAGATAAATTCATGATTAAAGAGTTTTCTGGCACAACAGAAGAAAAAGTCCAAATTAAAAAAAAAAAAATTACTCACCAAGTATAAAGAGCATCACAGTCACTAAGGCTGGAGAAGTGTCCATCTTTAGCAAGTCAACTAAATAATGTTCTTGATTCTTAACACGAAGAATGGTGAAGTCTTAGTGAAATGATGAACCTAAACCTAAAATTCACACAGGAAGTGAGCTAGTGTTAGGGAGCTGCACCCCCTAGTGGGCAGGGACTAAACTGGGGAGAATAATTTCCTAAACTTCTTGCAGAATTCAGCTGTGTTCTCATCCCTGACTTTATTTATTAGCACATATCTGTCTTCAGGTGGCCCTTGTAAATTGAAGACACAGCTATAATAACCTCTAAGGTCTTCTTTATTTTTAGGATTCCACCTGACATGTAAATGCTTTAGTAGAGTATCCCAGGATGTCTCTGTAGCTCAGAAAATATTAATATGGGCATTTTAATACAGGCTGTTATAAGCACAGGTATCAATTGTGGGTCAGCCTATGATCATGGTAATGTCATGAAAGAATTATATGAAGTAATAAGAGGTCAAGTTGTTATTGGGTGACCCTGTGTTTTTCAGCACTGTACCCACATGTAGAGCAGTAGTTGACATTTACTAGGTGCTGTGGTGAGCCGTACTTATAGACCGTGGCCGCTATTAGAAGATGGCGCCGGCTTCCACTGTAGCCTGTGATAAACAACTCCTGATATGGAGAGTTGGCGTGCAATCCCTTATCACCCTATGAGAAAGGTCCACGTGGCGGCTTTGGATTGGGATGCGGGAGCTTTATTAGGCTGTGCTTGGGTGTGTGGGGTGCGGGCGCTAGCAGATGATACATGAATCAAGGCCTGAATAAACTG